GCTAGCTTTTGTTAAAATTTGTACGGAAAATCTTGGTTTGGAGACCAAATTAAGGAAAAAGGCATTCAGTAGCTGGTTAATAATGACAAGCCTTAAAAATGACCAGACAAAGATTAGTGATATGTTTTAGTGATTGGTATGTGTCAGAAATTCCCAGACTTTTCCCACGAATTCCCTGGCATTCCCCGACTTTTCCCGGTGGCCGCAAATTCCCTCAGTTTCCCAGCTTTTCCCGACCATTGGCGACCCTGATATTATCAACAAATTGCTCATACATCATCACTGAGTGAAAAATTGCATTGACTTCAGAACTTACGTTTAACCTCACTCCGTAACATTCCTTCGATTGTTAGTGCGGGGTCTCCAGAATAATGATCTCTGGTCACTTTCTTCTCCTCCCGCGGACAATATCAACAACCGTGGCTCATCAAGGCAAACGCTACCGATGACCCCGAATCCCCCCCCCCCCCCCTCGGCCCCGACGCGACGTTACGTCATCCGGCGACGATGTCTCACGCTTACGCGCTAACTGGCCACTTACAGCGATAGCCAACACAGCACACAACGACTCAACGGTCCGATTAACTAGCGCCCGAGTCCGAGTCAGCGGGTCAAGCAGGATATCACCGACTCTGTCATTATGACGTGCGTTAGTTACGGATCCGCCACTCAACGCACTATCATCGCTTGGCTGACCTCTGACAGCGCATCGTCCTCGATGGTCGGAGGTCGAGGGGCCGGTGGTTTGTGGGATCGTCGGAGCCTCTGAACGAGGAGGAAGTTACATTTTGAAAGGGAGCTTCGGATTCGGTCGCCGATTCCTTCGGGTGATTTGGTACGCACGTACGTTGAGGAAAATTATGTTGAAATTACTTAATCAAGGTAGATTATGCAAAGAGGATATTTGAAATGAAAAGAACAGAAGCAGAGGAACAATGCAAGCATACAGGACTTTGCCACCGAAATATACACACCACGGCAAAAATTAATATACTTATGGACGGGGAGGGGGAGAGGGTTAAATATCTTAACTCGTTTTATCTTTCCGTTTTCACGAACGAAGGAGAAGAGGAGGGCTGAAAAAGCATAAATGAAAGAGTTGCAATTGCTTAAAAATCTCTGACTGATTTGTCATAAGAGCTTGGGGATAATTACTTGGAATATCTACGGATTCATTAAAAAAATTCGCTGACATTTTCTAATTTCTTAAGACCAGATATGTACAAAAATTCCTAAACATTTGTTGATCAAAGTTCGACAACTAAGCAGAGGATGAAAAGAAAAAGAAAAAAGTGAAGAGACAAAAAAAAAAAAAAAAAAAAAAAAAAAAAAAAAAAAAAAATAAAAAAAAACGTTAAACGAAATAATTACCGTTCGTGAAAAACTGATCTGTAAGTTCTTTTATAATTATGTTTGATATTTCAAAATTTTTGTTCCCAGGGTCATGAAAAATCTGAAGATACACAAATATTGAGCAAGAAAAGAAAAAAAGTCTAGTCTTTTTCGTACCGTTTCCTCGCTTTGACATTTTTCCCATTTTTTCCTTCCACGTTTCACTGTTTTCTAGATTTTCCAAACATATGCACACCGACACCGACATACGTCAGGAAGAGAGAGCAATGAGTTTTTTTCCTGGTACCTTCCGAAAGTATTTAAAATATACAGTTTAATAATATGTATACTGCAGAAATTTCGTTTAATCTGTCAAATTTGTTCTGGTGTTAGAAATTCCAGATTGTTGGCGACCCTGGAAAAATTGGGACTTACCACCAACCACCATGTTACCTTAAACTTTGCAAGATAAAAATAAATGAATGCGAGTAGAGAAAATTATATTCCGAATCCTTTCTTGGTACGCCCTGCATCGGAATGATTCTCATACCATGTTGATGAAGAAACACTCAACGTTGATCTTGTAGAACAAACAGTTCCATGCTTTGCTTTAAGAATGGGTCGGAAAAAAATGGGCCGAAAAGGGCAATAGTGGAAAATAAGAACCTAACGATAGACTGAAAGAACCACGCCCTGACAACAAATGGGGAGAAAAACTAAGAATGAGTGCTAGTATCCTTGTATTTGAAATATAAATAACTATTTGTGGGCGTCTACTGAAAGGGTCCTCAGTCCACGAAGGCGATAAAATTTTCAGTGCAATGTTTTGTGTCCGGTTGGGCCGAAAAATCGGATTTAAGATTTCGAAGGAAAGCTCTCGAGTGCCAATAATGACTCATGACCTAAGATAGGTACAAGACCTTTACTAATCTTTTGGCGACAGGTGAGAATGTTTACTCTCGGGGACTCTAACACTTCTTAATGAACAATTACAAGGCAGCAACAGTCATTCTTCCTACTGGGTGAATCTTGAGTTTCGGGTGACACAGTGAGCCAGACCACTTTACCAAACCTTGGTTTGTTTTCAAAACGACTCTTAAAACGATTATAGACATCTACAATGTTGGTACGTCAACAGTCAGATGTTACAGTCCCAAAAGTACCACTGAGTATCTCACCAAAGAGTTGAACAATTGCTTCTGCAATCAGACTGTAATTTGCAAAAACTTGCTTGGCAAAGTGTTCTTGAGTCATCATCGGACGAAATGTATTTGTTTTTTCGCTCAACAAAGGCTTTTGCTTTTGCCTTTAGTTCATTAGACAAAACATAACGTTGACTACCGAACTTAACTTTTGCCTCTCTCCACTAAATTGCTTTAATTGTTAGAGGGGATCTATAAAATAGAGTAAATAGAAATGATAGAATCTCTAAAACATTTAGTTCTATTTCACCCCGTGACGTCATGACTCACGACGCGGTTGATACCTGCGCGCCGTGGCGAGTACGCGGGGCGTCGGTGGCGGGCAGGAAGCGCATCCGAACGGAAAGCAAAAGTTGTTTTGAGTAGCCGGAAAGAGAGGGGGTCACAGGGGGGCTTCAAGGGGGGAGGGGGGTGGGGCTAACGGGGAGCCGACCGCGGGCGCGGACGCAACGGTGCATCAGTTGCCCGAGTCGCCGAGTTGCGAGACGCCGCCCGACCGTAAGAGAAAACCCTTCCGCGAGAATCCCGACACGTGCGCGAGTGGACCCAGTGTCAGAGCAAGTGCCACGACAAGTGCCAGGATTACAAGTGCCAAGTGTTAAGTGCCGTTTCCGGGATTCACCGAGTCCCCTTGCCATGGGACGCGATCGGATAGCCGTCCTACTCCTCTGGATGTCTTGTAAGTCCCCGTCAAAACTTTTCTTTTTTTAACGAGAGAGGGTGGCTTTAATCGAGGGGCATGGAGCAAGGTTTTTTTTAAAATTTTTTTTTGGATACAAGGGATCCGCTATGGGTATTTTTAAAATGTCCCTGTGTCTACTAAAACAGGCAGGCCGAAAATCAGTACTTTTACAGTCCTTCTTCAATACATTCCGAAGAAATTCAGTACCTACTTAACAGACAAATTCAGTACTTTTTTAGTACCTTCATTTGACGAAATTCGATAAATTTTAAAAATTTGAATTTGTCGCTCGAATTGCGACAAAAATAACAAAAGTTCCGGACCTTCTCGCGGAATTTCCGCACTTTTTCAGTACTTCCGCACCGCCCTTAAAAAATCGGTACAATTTCAGGACTTTCGAAATGATCTGAAAGCTGAGCTGAAATGATCATTGTTTCTTCAGATTTCTCCGCAACGCGGTCTTCTCTTGAATGCATAAAGAGCCAAATAATTTGAAGAAAGGAACGGAGAGCACAGTTGGTTCCCTCTGGGATTTCTTACAGGGGACATCCGTTCAGCGAAAACTGCTGCCTGCACGGTTATGTTTTCGGAGTTCTTTCGAGCATTGGTGGGCAGACTTTTTTGTTTCCCAAAAAACTTGATTCTTCCTGTTTACCCGGGTCCAATGCAACCCGCCGCATGAGGGGAAACACTTCGATTACACGGAGCTAGCTTAGGATCATGCGGAACAACAGAGTTTTCGGTCCCGCTAACCGAATAAAGTTTTCGGTCATGGGAATCGACATCAGATGGTCAGACGCAGATGACTGAGGTATTCGGTAAAATGTATGATCAGGTAAATGATGATCAGAAGACTCAAATACGACATTCAAGAGGTCAATAATGGCAGTTTAGGTGCAAAACCTAAATAAAAAAAGGTACTTTAAATATCCACACATAGAGAAAGAAATGGTCTCAAAACTGCAGAAGAAGAGATTGAAAAAGAAATGGTCTCATAACGTTAGATAAGTAGATCTGAGGTTTCTGGAACAGAATCCTTGATTTTTCCCTGATTTTCGCTACGATTTTTCATTCCCTGATAAATCACAGGTTTCGCCAATGCGCTAGTTCCTATGTACGATAATTTAAAAAAAAAAAACAGGGGCTGTTTGAAAATGACAACGACTTCTGCATGCTTGCAATTTGATTTTTCACTGATATATTGATCGCAGATACACCTCTGTCAAGAAGATGTTTTGAATTATCTTCTCTTTAAACATTAAGAAGAAAATAAAAAATAAAAATTCACGATTCGACGACTTCACGATGGAGGAGCGCAATTCGCAACATTAACTATCGATAAGTTGGAGCCACAGCCGCGGCTGTAATGGGTAATATTATGGGTCGATATGCACTTGAAGACGTAAAATTCTCGCTCTTGATTGAAAATCGAAAAAGGTTTCAGAAATGCAGCAGGATGAGTTCGATTTATAGATGATTGTTTACTTCTCGTATTGTTTCACTTCAATTAATTGTCCCGATCCGATTCAAATCTGTTACCAAGGCGTGGAGCTGCCACTGATGACTCAAGTTAGGTTACATTAGGTCACGCAACTAAATCAGCTTTGCGGCAATGCGGGAGGTGTCAGGCGGAAATGAAGGCGCTTGGCGCGCCACTGCTAAGTTAGTCACGCAGGTTCTTTCTGCAGCTGTAATGATTAAAACGGAGGGTTTCAAGTTTCTCTTCGTTTCTCTTTGATACACAGTGCACTGTATACGAACAGCAAATCGATAGGTAAAGTCGACAAATGCGCAACCTCGATTTCGACTTTGCAAATCTCCATTCATGATTCAATTTTTTTAAAATAAAAATACAGCGGTTGGGGACCGAAGGGGGAGGAATCATTTATGGTTTAAGCACTTATAGTTAAGAGCTGCATCGCTCTGCACTTAAAAATTTCCTCCTCAATACTCTTTTCTCGGTCATCATTATAGTCACGTATGTGAACAAATACAAAAACAAAACATCTCTAATCCTTGTTCGAATTTAAAAATCAATCATACTTCAAAGATTATGAGTTGAAATTACCCAAGACATTGTAAGTACTTACAAGAGCACCGATTAGGATTTGAATTTATTCCTACCTGCAACAGAGAAAAAAAAAAAAGGTATGAGCATCGAATATTATAACCGGAATATGCACTTCTTCACAAGGGCATATGGTATTATTAATCCATTTGCACCTCCGTCTGACATTAAAGATCACTGTCACCGACCGATTATTTGAATAAAATTAGCCATAACTTGGCCTTGGCCTCTCCGTCTTTTTATCGACGAGAGATGATCTGAAACGGGCGTTTACCTTTGAAATGCAAACACAGTCATTCCAGACAGGAATCACTGCTGGTTAAGTTTTAGTTGTAGTTAGTGGCGTAAAATAATTTGGTCATGCAGCTTTCAAAAGTAAAAACATCGGTTAAAGAAGGAGATTATCATCCTGTAGCCCACGAATCGGCAATTTCGATTGAGCTACTTCAATAAGGCAATCCCCGCGTATTTTCACCCTTTTTGCCTTTTGAGCCATCGAATTTAAAATCAAACTTCAGTCTTCTTGATATAATTTACATTCTAAATAGAAAAATAATCACAGTTATTTTTTGGAAACGACCCTGATTTTCCTTCTCTGTGTGAAGAAATACTTGTGCATTTCAAGCGATAGTGTCAGTTAGCTCTCCCTTGAATAGAAGCAGAGATTGTACACCATCATAAACTAGATACGCGTTTTTGCAGCCACCGTCGATATGATCGATAGGCTCTTTCTTAAAAGGCAATGTAGATATCGACGGAGAAACTGCAAAAATGCGTACCTCGGTTGCAGTGTTTCAAAATCTCCACTCCTGCTTCATTTTCTTAAAAAAGACTCAATCAACATTGTGGCTTGATATTTTCACAGAATGTTCTTCACATAAAGAATGAAAAACACCGAAGTTTTCAAGAAACGATGTTTAGAAGATTTCCACGTAGAAAATAAAAGTATAAGACAGACAGTATGCAACGCCACAAAAAGAGATACGCATTTCTGTAGTGCCGTGCTAAGGAAGAACGCCGTATGAACATTCGAGAGTTGCCAAATTTCCTTCGATGAAATGCAAATTTTCGAGGAAAGTTATTAATATTTTTCCTCAAAATTTTCAGGATCTTTCGGTGAAATTGCGAACAAAATTATCTGAAAAATTGGAAGGAAAATATTCAAAAGTTAACCAGGAAATTCGTGTTTTAACAACGGTAATTTGGCAACGCCTGAAGATTCATACGGCGTTCTTCCTTAGCATGGTGTAGTTTCACTACCGATATACGACTGGTTGGCTGAAAAATATTTATGAGCCGTTGCACGATCTGAGAAAAACGTCAAAACATATACGTTGTTTCTATGTGCAATGGGTCAATTTCCGTGGATTGGAATGAAAATTGGCAGCATCGATTTTGAGCGCAATCGTAACAGGTTGAGGATAAACACCGATAGAAAGTCCTCCCAGGAAACGGAGCCACCACTTCACTCCAGCTTTAATAAAGCAAATATTTTAAGTTCCCGATTAGCAATTTATTTATCTCGATCGATTCATTTAATTCAGAGGCGCTAGCTTTCACGGCTGGCGAGCGAGGCATTCGAAAAATATTACGTTTTCTCTTCCCTCTACCGGTCAAGAAACGCAACTATCTTTCAGACGGGAGGGAAAAGAATCCGTTGGTGGTTGCGGAGGCGTTCGTGGAGACCAAGTAAATTACCTCCAACATACGGCTAAAAGCATGATCTCTTTTCTCTTGGCGCCATTAATCAAAAAATATACCGGTCTAGCAATGAGGTAAGAGATTCTTAGGTGCTTGCACAAGCACTAGGACTTTTTCGACTTGACTTTCAGCCACAATGCTTCAACTTGCATTCAAGTTGGGGAAAGCAAATGAAATTCACGAGGAAAGAGAGTGTAGGAACGCTGACATCACTTGTCTCACGGTGATCTTAGACTAGTATATAAAAACCAAGGAAATTCTGGAGATAAAATTACTGAAATCAAAAGTACGATGGTCAAAATTACGGAAAGTATTTCTACCACAAGGTCAATCGAACACGAACCTTTAGAGTGGAATTGAAAGCAATCAAACACGAGGATTATTTTAAGTCGCCAAATAAGGAGCAGGGAGCCGCAAGTCTTTTACTTCTTCCACAATAATTATTTCGTCACATTTTTCTGCGCGGTTAAATTTTATTCAAAATTTTGACGGACGATTTTCTAAACGTCTTTTGGTCAACTTTGGATCCTCTTCCGACAACTTGGGGTCACATTAACCATGGTAACCATTGGTTAGCCATGGTATTTTCTATGAGCAAGGAAAATTTGAAATCCATTTTCAAGATGTAGACTCAATTTCCTTGATCAAGATCCAGCGTTCAGTGGCAATAATCCAAAGGGGAAGTTCCCTTATACGTCGTTCATCCGAACCATAGAAGACAAATCAAATCTGTAAACAACTGTGAATTAAGCATACTATTAATTTCAAAACGATCCAAAAATTGAAAAATCGGTCAACAGGTTTACGAGAAAACTCTGTTTCATTGAAACCACCTACTGTCAACGCGGAAGCACCAGAAAGCAGTGCAGTAATGGATCGTAACGGATTTCATGGATTAATACCTTAAAAGCGACTTGTTCTAAAAGAGGAGGCATTGAAATGTTTATGATCCCCACATTCTCAGCTTCAATTTGGTGCATTGCTTTGACATTTTCGATCAACCGTTAAACGCGATGTCAGATTGCACAGACAGTCAAATTGCACTCATCTGTCGGGCAGATTATCATAACAGCCCAGTCATCCAAAAATCAAAGTGGAATATGCTAATTGGTACGTTTTTCGTATCCTTCAAAAAGTTGGCGTTTGGGGATTAATGCATCAGAATTCCTCGCTTTTAGGCGCGCGACGAGGCGGACAAGTACTGCAGATGCCAATTTATGCAAAAAAA